GGCTGTAGACCATGCGGCCCTCCGCGTCGGCCGCCAGCACCCGGTCCCCGGGGCTCAGGTCCTTCACCAGCTTGGTGCCACCTTGCTCCAGGTGCACCGTGGCTGAGCCGGGGAAGCAGCCTCCCGATTTGGCCGCCACTGAGTTTTCTGTGCAAGGAGAGAGGCACAGAGGGGTTAGAGGGGGCACCCATTGGGCCAGGGCATGGGGGTAGGGGGGTAGAGGGTACGGGGGCAGACACCACTTCCCCAGCGGCCCCAGTCCACCTCTAGTGCAGGAGGTGGCCTCACTCCCCACTGAAATTCCTCCACCCTCATCTATGAACTTGCCCCATTTGCACCCAATGGAGAGTCCCCTTCCTGCCAGATTTGACCCGGTGCATCTCTCTCTGGAGTAGGAGCTACAGGGGCCCTTTGTCTCCTTGAGGGAATGGGCTGAAATATTTCCCCTGAAAAAGCTGTTCTAGAACAAACATGTTGTGGAAGATCTTCCCGCTTGGATACTCTTTGCTCTGCACCTGGCACCTGATGTGGGATAACTTGAGGCTTTCAAAGGCAAGCGGTTTTAGTGGCATAAGGTTTCTCCTCCTCTAGACAAGTGTCCGCTCTCGCAGTGCTCGGGGTCCCCACGCAGCTCTTACTCGGGGGGCCCACCCAGGGCAGCAAACAGCAGAGACCGGGAGGAGGATTTGCCCTGAGGAGCACACAGATTTGCCCATCGCCCCACTGCAAAGAAAGAGCCTGAATTTCCCGGGTGCCCCTCCACCAGCCTGTGCATGACCCTACGCTACCCCCGCATCCCTCGGTGCCCTCCTGGTCAGCACGGCAGCTACTGGGGCACACGTCACCCTCTGTAACACCGCTGGCATCCCCAGCACTCTGGTTCACTCCTTGTCCCCCCTCCCAAAAAAAGCATCTCCCACCTCATTGGAAGGAGGTTGTTCCCTGTCCCGGAGCGCATGGTCTCCAGGCAGCCCCATGCCTGTGCCAGACCCAAAAGCATCCCTACTTCAACTCCTCCCACTCTCGGAGTTACTCAGAGTGTAGCTACTAAATACTGTGGCTCTGATGCTGCTTCCCAGTGCTCCCAAGAGTAATAATCGCAGGTTTAAAGAAAGCAGAAATAGTGATGAGACTTTTAAGTCTCTCTCGCAAATCCTTTTCTGGAGGCTCAGCCACGTGCGGGGCGGTGGGAGAGGACCTCTGCCCTTCTCCAGACTGGTCTCTGGCTTAACCGAGGGACACTGGGGTATTCCTAAAAGCTCTGGTTTTCTATATATTGGGCTGTAGCCCACAGTATGTCATCGTAGCAAGTGTCTTTGCTACAGCTGTTGACATTCCTCATGCCTCCCTTGCCCTCCCCTGGTTTCTCCCAGTTACTCCCTATACCGGTTTAGAGTCCTGGTGATTTATCTCCTAAAGGTGGTCAGATTTTATATTTTGCCTCTGCGGCTGGTAGTGAAGCTCTTAGGATTTAAATAAACCCTCGGAGTGTCTCCTAACGACTTTCTCAGGAAGGACAGGAAGGGTGAAAATTAGACCGTTATTGATTTGCTAACGACTTCATCACTTCTCCTTCAGAAATGAAGCAGCAAGATCTCCAAGGCCTCTTCAGGGAGGACATGGCAACAAACAAGCTATGTGCTTTATGTGGAGCCCTCCACTAGCAAACTACACCTTCCTACAAGCTGGCGGTAAAGGTCTGGCTTGAGCTTTGTTTGCATATTCAGGGACTTGATGAATAGATCTCGTAGTGTAGCAGCTCTACAAACACGCCAGTGAATTGGCAGAGGTGTGAAAATCTGCTTCTTTGAGCAGTGCTTGTTTGGGTTCTCTAATTAAAATCCAATAAAGGATCAGCATTGTCATTCTGATTCATGTAATAAATGCAGACACTCTTGGAAGAGAGGACACTTCCATTTTTTTCCCAGCTTCTTCCCCCCCTTTTCTCCCCCTCCCTATTTGTTCAGGTGCAGAAACCCTATGTGCCAATTCACACACATACTCTCCAAAAAACCCAGGACCTTCCAAGCACTATTTGCACAGCAGAGCCACTTTTCCAAGGCACTCAAGATGTGTATTTGAATTTTAAATGTAGAAGCTTGCTCTAAATACTTGCTGTAGCGCATTATCAATGTCCCTTTTACCACCCCTGCCTCTCCCTCCTCTGTCCTGGTGACAATAATTCAGGCCTTGGGGAAACTCTTCTTTGCATTCCAGTCTCCGGGATCATACTTTTTGCAAACAGAGATCCAGATAAAGAATCTTCCTGCCTGGCTTTATGGGATTTAATCTTCTCATAAGATGCTCTGTCATGAAACGAGGTTTGGACAGTTTGAAATCAGGCTGAGCGGGTGGAATTCAAGCCCGCTGCCTTGCAGCCCGCGTGGTACAGTCACACGACCTTGCCTGACACCCTCTAAATATTGCCCCCGAGCCCGTGTGTGCCGAATCTCAATGAGCAGCTTGGGGCTACCCCTCTCCTATGAAATACCCGTGGGGGTGGATTAAGGGGTGCGCTTGGGCTAAGGTCACCGCGCGCCACAATCGGACACCTTGCGCTATAAAGCCCATCTTCACTATTGAAAGGGATGTTTCATATCACCGCACGGCTGATGGCTTTGCAGAGCCTCTTTTTTTTTTTTTTTCTTCTTCTTTTTTTTTTTTTGGCTAGAAAGGACCGAGGAGCTGAACAAAAGCAGCAGCAGGCTTTCAGGACAAAGCCCGAGTGGACCGGGAGAGGTGCTCCCTTGGCTCAGCCCCTGGGGAGCTTCGGGCTGGCGCGGGGGGATGAACCCCACTTGCAGACAGACACGGCGAGGCCAGGACGGTTTTGCTGCCGTGGGGCGGCCAGTTTCGAAGCAAACGGCTATATTTAAAGAAAGCCCATTATTTTCTTTTGCAACCAAGTGTTTCTTGACACCTCCAGCGGGCTGCTGCGCCAGAGGATGCGCTGAAAAAGCACTTTAG